ACTACTGTATAACATACTCTGTAAGGCTGAAAGCTTTTTAAATGTACACAAAACTTACACTGTGGATGTGTAATTCAATGCGTACATGTCTGTGTCCACACCCATGAACAATGCTTTAATTAGTCATTTCTACACTATTTCGGTACCAACCTTTAGTCTGAAGCAAGGTAACAACCAAAGGGAAAAATAATTCGAGTGACTACAGCAGCCTCATTCCAATGGCCGTCGGTGGAACTGCACTAGCACAGCATGCCTGGTATTGCAATCCAGGTAGTTATGACCCACCCAGGGAAATTAACATACCAAGCAGACCTCATGACCCAATACATGCATTTCGCTAATGAAGTCACTATCTCAGAGTAAAATACTCCACACTGCAAGTAATATGCAACTCGGGAAGTAATTCACATCCAGCATGCAGGACATACAGATAAAACGCAGAAAATACCAGCTTTTAAATAAACTTATACTGTGGTACCACAGATATTTCACAGAGGTCCCTCCTCCCTCTTCCTTTCTCTCTCTTTTTTTAAAAATATATTTTATTGATTTTTTTACAGAGAGGAAGGGAGAGGGATAGAGAGTTAAAAACATCGATGAGAGAGAAACATCGATCAGCTGCCTCCTGCACACCTCCTACTGGGGATGTGCCTGCAACCAAGGTACATGCCCTTGACTGGAATCGAACCTGGGACCCTTCAGTCTGCAGGCCGACACTCTATCCACTGAGCCAAACCGGTTAGGGCCCTCTTCCTTTCTTAATACAGGAGAAGCTAATCCACCTTGGGAAGCTCACATTTAAAATACAGCTAAATCAAAGCATTAGCAATTTAAAAAAATCTTTTTAAAGCACTTGAATTAACAATCCACTTCAATATTAATTAATCTTATTTTTCCCAAATCCACTGCATTCTCTAACAAAAAAAAAAGATAACTGGGATTTCACAAACAGAAAAGAAACTGGCTAAAAGACACAGAAAAATAATAAAAATTTTAAAAATAATAGTCCCTTTGGATAATACATATGAATTAAAAAGAGCAAAGGAGAATCCAGAAATTGTGTGTACAACAAATGGAGGATAAATAACATAAATTAATACTTTTATGTTTGCATGAAGAAATTCTGGAAAAATAAGGAGAAACTGATACAAGTGGTTGTTCCGGGTTGGGGGGTGAGGGGAGACAACGCTTATAGGGGACAGAAGAAGTGAGACTTCCCTGCAGAGCTTTTTATATCTTTTCCAACAAAATAAATGTATTGCCAATCCAATAAATGAAATGAAAATGTATGCTAAGGTGGTTTGGGCTGCATCATACTGCGGAAGTAAAGAACCCAGGCTCTGCAGCCAGGCTGCCTGGGGCTCCAATGCCACCAGCTAGATAACCAGTACAACTGTTCTCTCTGAGAGATGATGCTGAGCGATGGGGGGCAGTGTCCTGGCCTAGATGGTGGCCACAGCAGCCTGACCATCAGCTGGGAAGCCACAGTGCATCTCAACATATGCATGGATATGCATGGATAGCATGGCCCCTGCTTAAATTCAATTTCCTTCGCTACTCACCATAGTCTCTGAGCCCCCAAAACATTTTACCAGATATCTAATACTGTCACATAGAAAGCCCCCATTATATTTTATTACGTAGTATTGAAATTAAAATCAGCCAATTATTAAACAGTTCTTTCCGTAGTATTAACAACACCTTTACCAGCTTTTAATCAGAAGGGGGGGGGGGGGGGCAGAGGAAAGCATAATAGATTTCCCTACAGGAATCAGCTGAAACATCTGTGTCCTCCCAAAGTAAGACGCTGCTTTTCTACATGGGGGAAATTTTTTGTGAAACAAATCAGAACAAAAAGTGAAAATAAAGCAATACTAACAGAAGGAAATTTCCACCATCCCACAGGGGCGAGGGTGGGGGGGGATCTTATTCCATAAATGATTGCATTTGTTCTTAAAATATGATTTTTAGATGAAATATGCTATAAACATTTAAAATCAGTATTTTATACATGTGGAACTGCTACTGTCTCACAAATTTAGTTTCTGAATCATTCAGAAATTTACAGGCAAGTTTCAAAAGTTGGGTATCTTCAAAAATCCAATTGAAACCAGCAATTTGGAATTCAGAAGATCTTCTCCTGGAAATGTTATAAATATGGTTAATTCTATTCAACATTTATTTACACATTTAACCATCCACATGAAACTGGAAAAGACCTGAAGGAAGAGCCCTGTTATGTTCACCTTGTGATCCTCACAACTCAGCACTAGACTAACCCGAAATACACTTCCTGAATGGGTGACTGTCCTGCCACCCTCAATGGGCGAGATTGCTCACACACAACACAGACTGGTGTTTCCAAAACTTGGTTCGTCAGACTCACCTGAGGGTGCCTGTACACCAGGCTTCTTCCTGGCTGAGCCCCAGACTTGCTGACTCAATCTCCAGAATCTCTGGGGATCGTTTTTAAAGGAGCCCCCAGTGCTTCTGATGATTCAGAAACTGGAAAACACGGGATGAATGAAATAGTGTGAAGGATCGCCGAGTTCCAAGATGCCCGGGAAAGCTGAGACTAAGCTGAGCCACTCCAGTTCGGAGTGGAAACAGGAAATCAGACAGGAGTAGGTTTAGGCTCTGATCACCCCCTGGGCAACTGAGGCCACAGGGAAACCTAGGAAGCCAAGTGAGAGCTGAGCTGGGTCTGCAGTTCCTACAAAAGGACTAAATGGAGGTGATAAGGGCTTTGAGAAAGAGGACATCTACATAAAGACCCCAAGAGAAGGGCCGGCTCCCCCAACGCTCACAAGCCAAATGCCTGGGAAGCAGAAAGAAACAACCACCCTTCACACACTCCTGTAGGGAATTACATATATATACTTCATGGATATATTTTAGGATCCCTGGGCAGAACTCTCCGGTTTTCAAATCATAAGTATTTTTATGCCCAGCTGGCGTGGCTCAGTGGTTGAGCATTGACCTATGAACCGGGATCCTGGTCATGGTTAGATTTCCGGTCAGGGCCCATGCTCAGGGTTGCAAGCTAAATCCCAGTGTGGGGCATGCAGGAGGCAGCCGATCAATGCTTCTCTCTCATCATTGATGTATCTACCTCTCTCTCTCTCTCTTCCTCTCTCTGAAATCAATAAAAAGAACAAAACATTAAAAAAAAAAAAGTAATTTTATGTGTATGTCTGATACAAGCTCTCCTGTGCACTTGGTCAGCTTTCATCTTCCAGGCTTCAGCTGAGCAGCGGCACATGGGCTGGGCCATCTGCGGCAATATAGAGACATCAATGTACACACAGATGTTAACTCAGCCTTCTCTGCCATCTAAACAACATCAATGTTAAGTGTATGGTAGTTATGAGCCAGGCACTATGCTAAGTACTTCAGATGTGTGTCTCAAATTTCTTGGCCATCTGCTAGTAGTTTGAGAGGTTTCAAAACAAAAAAGAAAAGAAAAAGAGAAAAGACCAAAAGACTGAAGGTATTTCCCCCTCGGATATTTGACAGACTTTTGCCATACCTTCCATACCTTCTTGGTGTTTGGTTTTCCCATGTGAATACGGAATGTCATAATTTGAAGAGACAGTGCTACAGAGTGGTCAGGAGATAAGCCGACCTGGGTTCGCATCCCAGCTCTATCGCTTGCTAGCTGTGAATGTGAACAAATTCTTAGATGCATCATCTGTCAAACGAAAATAATAAGAGTACCCACCTCAGAGAGCTGTTGTATAGACTGCAGTGCCTGGCCTACAGCAAATGCTCATTAGCTGTCTGTATTATGAGGCAATAAAAGTCACCAAAAATATAGCCCAATACCAGAAATTGGAATTGTGCTGCTACCCAAACATTGATATCAGTAATGTTACTGTTTGTTAGTGATAGTAAATGCTTTCACAGACACATTACTTAATCCACAAGGAAAGGGACTACGGCTGGGACACCTCCAGGGCCTGTTCTTAGAAGAGCCTTCACTAAAACAGAAGCTCCATCTCTTTTGCTACTACATTTGTCTCAAGTGCTGCTAAGAAATGTAACATGTGAAAGCAAGATAGCCATCGGCGCCATCCTGTTGATACTGAACTTCAAAGCCTGCAGAATTAATCCATTCCAGGAGATGAACCAATTTGAGGAGAAATAGAATCAAATGATTAAAACCACTACTAGGTGTCTACTTTGGTGCAAACCATTTTATGTTTAAAATATAATTTTTAAAAGATATTAAAATGATAGCCAGTGTTTTACTGTATTATTTTTCTGTTTCTGAATTTTCTTCCAAAATATTAAGAATCTCAAATATTTCTCTCACCAAATTTTTTTCATTTGCTAGTCCCATGATGAAATTTAATATTGGCTTTTCCTATAATGTAGAGGAAAACTAGACTATTGCTAGATAAATCATTTCACCCTAAATACAGGTAGCTTTGTATAGCAGGTAATTATAGTTTCAATACCCAAAAGTCAATGAGTAAATTGATGTTTTGGCTTAAACGATATACACTCGAGAATTTTTAAAAAAAAAGATAATTCTAAATTTTTGGATATCTGACATATGGCAATGAATTTAAACAATTCTTTTTTCACCCAGCTAGTGTGACTCACTGGTTGAGTATGACCTCCCATGAACCATGAGATCACAGTTTGATTCAGATCAGGGCACACGCCCAGGTTGTAAGCTCAATCCCCAGTAGGGGGCGTGCAGGAGGCAGCAGCTCAGTGATTCCCTCTCATTGATGTTTCTATCTCTCTCTCCTTCTTCCTTCCTCTCTCTGAAATCAATAAAAACATATTTTTTAAAAAGCATCATAAACAATTCTTATTCCATAATGATATTAGCACTTTTTAAAGATGAAGAGGAGGCCGAGATTGGCCTGTGGGAGGAGTATACTTAAATTTGAAACAAGTACCTGCCTAATGTGTTTAGAAAATGACTAACCCCTCTAGATGTGATGCTCCATGCACTCCCTGTCGGAAAAACGTGAGTTGAGTCTGTATAGTCATAATGAGTTTATTTCAGGCACAAAGATTTTTATATGAATTGATTTCTGAGAGAGGAAGGGAAAGGGAGAGAGAGAGAGACATCAATGATGAGAGAAAATCATTGATTGGCTGCCTCCTGCACATCCCACCCTGAGGATAGAGTCCGCAACCCGGTTATGTGCCCTGACTGGGAATCCAACTTCGACCTACTGGTTCATAGGTTGATGCTCAACCATCATGGCCAGGCCACAAAGATTTTTTTTAATTCCTAATCACAGTAATCAGAGAAGGATTATTAATCAAAGTCATATCCATACAAGGCCACTTGAGCTACTGTTGTTATCAAATAGTAACCCCTCATTAGAATTATTAAATGCCAAAAGTGAAAACGCCAATAGAGGTAAATTTAGTCAAAGTCTCTATTTTACATATAAGGAAACTAAGGCCTGATGGTGGTGAATAAATTGCTCAAAATCTGCATTAGAAAATGGCAGAGGTGAAGCCAGACTCAAGGCTCCAGATTCTCAAGTCAATGAGCTTTCCCGTTTATTTCAATACTTCTCAGAGAGCTTGAAAAACACAGTGGCTGCACTTGTTAAACACACTGGACACTCTAGCAAGGGCTTTGGAAGGGTCTGGGAACCCGTAACTTTAAAACGCGTTCCAGGCCATTCTTAAGGTCAAGCAAGTATGGGGCACACTGCTTCATCTCACAAGGCCTCCCTAACCTGAGGTGCCTCTGCTCAGCTGTCAGTTTCTGTTAATACATTTAGGGACCTTCTGGGGATGAGAGGAGGGTGGAGACCATATTCCTGCACCAACATCCTCCCTAGTATGTGGTATGTTTCAATAAAAGCAAGTCTTGTGCCAGTTTCACCAGAAATACAAACATTTATCAGCAGGGAGGCACAAAAACAACCCGCAACCTGTTCCTGGAAGTGAAGTCTCCTCTGTCTTTAAAACTCGGACAAGCACCTTACACAGAAGGTTCATTCTGAGGAAGAAGCAAATATATTCTGACATTAGGACGGCCAAAACTCTGGTTGGCTTAAGGGACAGTTCCTTGTGAGGTGGAACAATGAAGCTTGAGCACTACCCAGAAGGTAAAAGACTATCGTATCTGCCTAACACAGACTCTACAAACTTATACCTTGTTTATGCCGAGTGCTCATACAATGTCTGCCCACCAGCTGTCTGGAACACTATTCATCTCACCTATAAAAACTGCTCACATTCTCCCAAGGCCATCCTGTATAGGTGCACAGGCTAAGAACCATATCAACTCTATAGGAGCACTGTTAACATATGAATGGTGCCCCCTACAGTTGTGCAACAAAACAAACCTCCCTAAACCTGGAACACTTCTAGAATCTAGAGCAGTGATGGCGAACCTATGACACGCGTGTCAGAGGTGACACGTGAACTCATTTTTTTGGTTGATTTTTCTTTGTTAAATGGCATTTAAATATATAAAATAAATATCAAAAATATAAGTCTTCGTTTTACTATGGTTGCAAATATCAAAAAATTTCTATATGTGACACAGCACCAGAGTTAAGTTAGGGTTTTTCAAAATGCTGACACGCCGAGCTCAAAAGGTTCGCCATCACTGATCTAGAGGAAAAAATCTTGGGCTTTTCTGGCACTATAAGAAAGTAAAGCCAACAAGTCATCTTTTTCTCCTATTCTGTTTCAACAATTACATTTTATATTCACCCAGGAAATACTTTTAAAGTGAAGTGGAAAGAGTTCTGGTCTAGAAATCAGGAGACTCAATGTCTGTGTTAGGTATGCCTCTTACTGATCCCAGAACTTCCATTTCTTTGTCCGCAAAATGGATATAATACAACCTGGCTTTACTACCTTACAAGGTTTTTGAGTCAAATAATGAATATGAAAAATATTTTTCAATCATAAAAGCACTGCATAAATATCGTGTTATTATTAATTATCAATAGAAACCAATCACATGTGGCTGAAAAATCAAACAGGGCTATCAGCTTGGGTGTGTACTGATTTGTCCATAGCAAAGTCTGCTTTGATTGTGCAGGGGTCCTCAAACTACGGCCAGCGGGCCACATGCGGCCCGCCGAAAACATTTATCCGGCCCGCCGGGTGGTTTTGCCGCAGCTGCCTGTCCTGCTCAGCAGCCGACTCGTCCCGGGCCCACAGTGAGCATGTGTGGAAAGTCTGAGGGACAGTGAACTGGCCCCCTGTTTAAAAAGTTTGAGGACCTCTGGTTTACAGAGCCAAGATGCAACTATCCACATTTCTGTTATTGCCACTATTTTCAATGAGAACATACCAGTATTATGTCAACAAAATAAATAAAGTTTGACTTTTATAAAAAGGAGCAGAGTGGTGGTTAAGCACAAAACCTTAAAAAGACAGAAAGTTTTTTCTTTGTTTTTAAAGTAATTGTCTTGCTCACTTAGATTTGCAGCAGTCAGTAGAGTAACCCTTCCCGAAAATTTTTAGTTATTTTTCCTGACACCAAGCACCAAGAAACCATATATCAGTTCAATTCAAGTATCTATTGAGCTATCCCATTCCAGGCACTGTTGTGAGCTTTGGAAAAATAAAGACCCAGCCATCATTGATCTCATGGAGCAGAAGTGAATGCATAATTTCAGTCCACACTGTTAAGTGCAGATGGAGGTGCATACCTGATGCCCTGCCGGATGCTGTGGGAGCACCCTTTCAACCTGGGGGTCCACAGACAGCATTAAGGAAGGCATTAGGGATGAGCAGGAAAAAAACAGTAATGTGCAATCTCCCCAATTTATGACAAAATATTGTTTTTAGTGACTTTCCACCCATGAGATTTTGAGGAATGGCAAACTCGATGAAATACTTCTGAGAATCATTGAGACCAGCAGGACTGGCCCACAGGCCTAAAATGCTATTTCTGTATTGCAAAGATAAAGTCTATAGGTTTTTAAAAACAGCTCCACTCACCCCTTTATTATTGGTAGAAACCCATCAAGTAGTGAAATATGAAGTCTCCTGCTGCACTCTGGCTTCCGTAAGCTGCTCAGTTTTGCTACTTGCTCCTTGGGAGACTCATTAAAAAGTTTTATCTGACACGAAGGAGTGAAATTAACAGAGTTATCCTTGGGCCTGTTTATTAAATGCATTTGAACTTTGTTTCCCATTTCCACATGATCATAAACAGTGGGACAGCAGATGACCCACTCTAACCACACAACCTGGGGCAAATCACCTCAACTCTCTCAGATTCGACTTCCTCTCTTGTTAAGAACTTATGAAATATACACCTGAAACTAATACAAAATAATACTGAATGTAAACTGAAACTGAAAAATGCAATTTTTTAAAAAGAGTTCATGAAATTGATGGCCATTACAGATAACTCCAACTCATGTCTACATGTCCATTCCAATGAAGTATGTTCTTCTGAAGACCTGCCTAAAAAGTACCAAAATGACTTTTTAAAATGTAGCTTTTACAGGAACAGGAGTTGGCGCACCTTTTAAGAAGAATCCTAACAGAAGCTAAATGAAATGAATACATAGGTGTCTCACTGCTTGTTCGCATATAAAAAGTGTGTGAAGGTGAAAAACCACAAAAACTAATGTCTTCATAGTTCAACTCTCTTCTCTGTACACGGACTTCTACTCTCAGACATAATTACATTCAATAAAAGCCTTCTTCCTTGGTCATAAAAAAAAAAAATGATGAGCCAGGTTTTCTAGTATGAAAGCAAAGTCATTTAAGGTTCAGAAGATTTTAAAACTTGTGAAAAGTTTTCAAAAGAGTTATTACAGTCCCTTAGGACAACCTTGGTTGATTTAGGGAATTTAGGGGATTTTGGCTATTGGTGAAAAGTGATATGTTTAAATGTAAAACAAAACTAGCGCAGGAGGAGTTCATGACCGTCAGGGAGTTTTTTTCTTGTTTCTTAATTCCCACAATAGATCAGTTTACCTAGTAGATCTGCCTCATCACATCATTCCTCAAGGGTGAAATTCTCTTTCACCCACACACAGACACTCGACACAGAAAAAGCATAGAAGCAACTAGTGATTACCGAGATGACCGTGACATTCCACTAGGACAGTATATCCTGATGCATGAGATCATTATTCACATTAAGCAGAAATATTCTGCTTATGTCCAACAACTTTATGAGACCACTTTGATTCCCCCCCCCCTTTTTTTTTGGTTGAAGTTGGGGGGCGGGAAGACTCTCCCTGGTTGGGAACTATCCACAACTTATAAGAAAGTGTTGACAGCACAATCAAAGAGACGAATTATAAAATGTAAAACCATCGCACCATAACTTCACAGCTTAAAGAAAGATGTATTCTAGCAGGCAATCTCCCTCGCATTAAATAAGGACTGTAAACTTGAACTCTCCTGGTTGTCAGGTAGTTCAAGTAGAGCTAAGCTTTTCCAGCAGGAAAACCAGCTATTCCAGGCTGCATATGAAGTGGTTCTAAGAGAGACAGCATTTCCTCCACAGCTGCTGACATCTCCAAGTGGGTTACACCAACATCTCCCCTCCCACCCTACAATCCATCAACCGGCTTCCATTTACTCTTTACACTAAGGATTACGATCAAGTCCGCGTACTGAAAAGGGGAGAAGCCACATGAACATCACACTGCAAGTTCCTCCGCTTTGGGCCAGCAGGAAATTCCAGTTACTTCATTCACTGAGCTGGTTAAGCTGCAAATATGAAATGGGTCTTTGGAGAGATCACGGTGTCAAGACTTAGACTTGATTTTCAGGCTTGGAGGAGGTCAGACAAAGATGAATGGGATTCAGAGTCTGCGCTCAAGGTCAAGGCCCTGTGAGTCACAAAGAGGCGGTAGGTCACGCAGAGAGAGACAAAAATTAGCACCAAAAAAGAAAAGCCTAAACTACAAGTCTGCATACTTTTGTAGGTGGGTGAGGACACCGGTACCTGGTGGGCAGAGAGGGGACAGCAGCTCCATGAGATCCCTGGAGATTTTTACAAACATCCCCCTGAAGTCTCACCAACTGAAATCATTACATAAACTGGACACCTGGCTTCTGGAACCGGCCACCTGCCGCTGACCCTTTGCCCAGGACCCTGGCCCCAGGGTCTCCTCTGAGTCCCCCACCCCGAGAGAGGCACGGACAGAGGGACAGGGCGGCCAGCCCAATGTCCACCCCCGCGCCCACTCCATCAAGGCGGCCAAGGACCTTCCGCAACTCGAAAGGCGGAGGGTGCCGCCCGTGCCTGCCACCTGCACGGCCGCCCTGGCCCGGGTCCGGCCGTCCCCACCCGAGAGCCCACCCTCGCGGGGCTCCGCGCGGCAGCCCCGGAGCCGGCCCCGGGCCGCCAGAGGGCGGAAGGGAGCCGCTCCCGGGGGGGCCTCCCCGCCTCGCTCCCCTCCCCGAACCGGCCCGCCCGTCACTTCTCGGAGTTTCACTCGCAGATGGTCCGA